TGTGTGTGTGTATGTGTGTGTGTCACGCCCACCTCTTCTGCACGGTAGTGTTTGAAGCACATGACATCTCCTGCCCCAGCACTGGGTACATATGGGATCTTGGGAATGCCTGTGCAGCACATGTTCAATATGCAGTATTCAATTTAATGAAGTATTGAATGTGACATGGAACATATGCAGTGAATGTCTCCAGAAACGTTACATGACAACCTCACACTGTAAAAACATCATTCTTGTATTCAAGGATTGTTAGACAGCTGTTTCAAACTGTAATACAATACCATTCAATGCATACACACACTGAAGACAGACATGCACACAGAGGTAGTGTGTCAACAGCCAGAGGACGGAACTACCATCCCCTGCACACACAGACATGTCTGAGCAAACAAATCAAAATAATATGGATTGCACTTTAGCTGAACTCCCACAAGGCCTTCGTTGTTTACGGCTGCACACTGGACGCTTTACGTCCACACACACTCACACACTCACACACACGTACAGCAGTCCCTGTAAACAACACCTTTGAGCATTACAATAACATGTTTTACCCGCGAAGACTTCCTCCTGCGCTGCCATTGCTAAATCTCAACTTGTACGGTTCCTGCAGGCAGGCTGCAACTTTGTCCACGTCCTTCCTCCAGAACAAAGGGTGCAGTTCCCCGTTCACCCACAAGGTGTCATCAAATCTCTTTAAAAGGAAACTGTCCTTCAGCAGCAGCTGCTGCATTTGCGTTACTTTGCATTTTAGTATTTACGAGGAATTTGCAGTGAAATTAAACTTCGATTATGTCATTTAATTTAGTGGAAATATTTTAGTTGCAATTCAATGCAAAAATCTGATATATGGCCATATAACCTTTGTATGTCAATGTGTGTCTCACCAGCAGTGTTGGGTCAAAATATATAGATTTCCATATGGAATTTTCAGGAAATGTTAAGCTGTTTTGAATATTTTAACAGTCTTCAATAAGAATAATAATATAATGTGTTCTATAATAAGTAATTATGACACTTGCAGCTTTCAGTTTTAGGCACATGAGGTCTGCTCAAACTCACTTTGTTTAAAGCAAAACTGGAAACACTTCCTGTTTGTCACTGTCTTATTTATTCATGTGTTGTATATGTTTATTCTCTGTTTAATCTGTATTATTCTATTTTTAGCTTCTATTTCATTTGACTCTATTATTCTTACCTTATTTTACTGTATGCATATTGTTATGTTATCTTGTCTTTCCATGCCTTTTATGCCTTAAAAGGTATCAACAGAAAATATATTTCACCTCCATAAGCAATCCTCTAAATTTCTGATTTATTTTACATGCTTGCTTTTACTAAGTGGACAGTGTCTTCTTCTTTATCAATTTTTCATCAGAGGCAACAATATATTTTAACTTCTGCTATGTCAACTTCCACGTACTCTCTTGTCACAACCTTTAAAAAAAAGTGAAGCAACAAGCAATGAAATTACAAATGTCCCTGTAGAAAAACATAGTACCGCCTGATGCATGTTTATTTCAATTACAATGGCGCTTTTATAAAATATCTGATGCAGAAACATCAACAGAAACGTAGAAATTATAACAGGATACCACACACACATAACCCATAAATACATATTAACACACACTTTAGAAAAGTACACATTATCCTTTAGAGCCTTTGGTCTGGAACATATGCCAGGTGGAAACAACAAACATTTGCAGAAGGGAAGTTCTCTGTGCACCATTGAAGCCCTATCATATTTCATATCAGTACAGAATATACAGTGCACACATGACACCGTTTGCCTTCTCCCATTGCGAATGTTTTGCATCGTTTAGGGATTTAGGATCCTGTGTTGTCCTGACGGTTGTCCATTTTCATAATGCTAAAATTTTTGCATAAGATAAAGATAGAATGGAAGGCAAAACAAATACGACCAAGCACCAGGCACTGTAGAGTGAGGCACTTGAGCACCTAACATCTCTGGTTTGGCATCATGACGTTTGGCACATGAGGGTGGCGTTGCACTTTGAACTGTGTGTGTTTGTGTGTCTGTGTGAGAGAGAGGTGGGCGATTACAAAAGCCCTGTCCAGGAAAACTCTCACAGCCACTGCCTTCGCCATACTACCTGTTGTGCATTTGAAAACAAGTAGGTGAGTAACTTACATTCATTCTCCCACTATTTACACTTTTACCATATAAAGTACATGCTCTTGTAATTCAAGAGTGATTTTTGAGCAGCTCTCTCACAGAGCTTTAAGTTGAAAGTCTGCATTTGTTGATCCCGACAACGTTACTGAACCACCAGTCTGTCGAGTCATGAAAATTTCCTCCATTGTTCCACAACTTTTCTCTTTTTATGCAGCACTTGCACTCTCTCGGTTTCCTTGGGCCTCATGAGATTAGCAGAGTGATCCTGGGCTGATGAGAGGGGGGGCTGCTATGATGCTGATGAGTCTGGCTGGCTGAGGTCCTTCTTCCTCTTCTTCTTCTTCTTCTTTTTCCCGCTGCAGGGCTTGCAGACGCAGCACAAGATGCAGGGCGAGGCCAGCAGGAGGAGTGGAGACGTCACCAGCACGATGATGCTGACCCCCACCAGGATACCCACCACCTGAGGGACAACACAACAACACCTTTAAAGCTGCACCAACAGCTTATATTAACACTGGCTCAAATGATTATGTGTAATGTGAAAGGGGTCAATCTTAGTGAGGAACAGTCAGAGAATTATCACCTGACTCTTCAGTGCCATTTTTAGCTTCTTATTAGCTTATTGTTTTGATTGTATGCCCACCCCTTTACTGTTTTGTTTCACTCTCACTGTTCTCATATAAACCTACTGTACACTACCTAAACAGCACTAAACAGTAAACAGGCAGTGTTAGCAACTAGCTGGTGAACATTTAGCAGCTAAAGAGACAATCATTTCCCTCAGATGTTGGTCGTGAGCAAAACGGAGCTGAAAGCACTTCCATTCATCAGACTGACGGAAACATGGCCCAAAATGAAATGTAATGTTGGTCTGTGTCTGCTGGATGTGTAAACAGGCTTACAGTTATGCTGCTTCAATTTGGTGCCAATGCAACCAATGGTTATAATATTTAATAATTAGTGATGGTATCTACATACACATAAATCCTTACAAATGTCATGCCTTGGTGTAATTACTGTAAACAAATGGGACTGTTGCTGAGAAGGCTGGTAGCCTCCATCAGCCTCTTCACTGCATTTTATGTCATGTAAGACTATAAAATATATAGTATGTAATACTGTAATGCTTCAGGGTGTTAGGAGGTGTTACTTATGGCAACTGAAGCCAATGACAGATGGTGAACATGAAACACTGATGGAAAAACCACATACAAGCAACATACGTTTACATCATTGACAGTATACATAATGTCAGGGTACCCGTGGGATTATGGGTAGTCATAATCTTGAACCATTCAGATCAGAGCAGTCTGCTTAGACCATGATGAAGATATTACTATTCATTTGACATTTAAAATATTTTTTTGTATTTATCGTGTAGTACTACATTATATAGCCAAAAGTATATAACATCCCTGTCCACATTCTTTTGTGTATGTTTCATCCACGACTGTCTTTTATGGTTTGGGCTTGGCTCCAATGAAAGCAAATCCTAATACTATATACAATATACGATGATATCTTAGACAGTAGTGTGTTTCCAATTTTGAGGTTTGTGTGTAGCCCTTTCTTCTTTGAACATACACAAAGAACATGGATTTCCAAGTTAGGTATGGAAGAACTTGACTTTACAGAGCTCTGACCTCAACCCTATTCAAAACCGGTGGGATGAACTGGAATACCGACTGCGAGGCAGGCCTTATCGTCCAACATCAGTTTCCGACCTCACTAATGGCTGGGGGTGTGCTGTTATAGCAGCATATTAATAGGCGGTAGAGCAAGTGAGAAGTCCACAGATGGGTGTAGTGTTCAGATGTCCATATATTTTTGGCCATGTAGTGTATATGAAGAGTCAGTATGGTGATCTATCTCAATCCAAATTTAGTTTTTAGTGCTCTAAATGTACTGTCACTACAGCTGTGTTTGGAGGCAGCTAAGAAGGAGTTACAGTGGCAGAGGAATTTGAGACAGGCAGAATGTAAAACTTATAGGACCGGTTAGGCAAGGGTGTAACCAATCCTGTCATGAGTTGTTTCGCAAGGAACAACTGTGCTGTTGTACTATGACTCCCAAGACATTTACCAATGTAGACAAACCGAGACGCAATCAGGAGGTCCGCTGCACACTCGATACTAATCATGTGATAATGGCATCAGAGCAGGGGAAGTGGAAAGAAAGTAGGTTTGGCGGCCAATTGTAATTGTTTGGTTGAACAGACGACATCATTACAGGGCAGGAGTTTGAGATTAGTGCTGAGATTAGTTCAGCTTAATGTCTGATAGGAGGACTATTTGGGCACACTGGTGGAAAAACAAAAAGTTAACACTTTATGGGTCTTTAAATGGAAATTCAGCAATAAATGCAGCAGCTGATGAACAGAACAAAGCTGGTTTGTTTCCCATGTCTGAGAGTGAATGAGAGTCACTGTCCTGCATGGTCTTCAGCAACGTCCCCATTGGGGAGTATGTCAACAGTGACTAACTGAATTGATGGCCAAACAGTGCAGCTGGGATGGAGTCCAAAATCTTTAACATCCAATCCTGGTAGTGTGATGGCACAGTTTTATTAAAATCAAACCCATGCATGAAATAACCACCCACAGGCTCTGCAGGCTAATCCATTCAGACAATGACAGTGTCACCACAACCCTGAAATGAATACTGTGTGTCTGGCTCTGCTGTCTGCTCAATGGCCTCACCTGCGTTCTGTTCCACATAACCGAGGCCCTGGAGTGTCCCAGCTTGTTTCTGCACGGTCCCTTATCATAATGCCTCAGGAAGATATCACCCTGCAATTACAAAACGCACACGTTGAGACATGAAATCTACCTTTCAGCAATCACCGAGGATATTCAAACTCAAACTGACAAAAGATAGCGAAGCAGAGGCTGCGGTGTTTTAAACTTGGTTATGAAAAGAATAGACAGAATCTAAAACAGGTGGCTAGGCAGTAAAAAAATCATCATGGGAGCAGAGTTAGGCAGCAGGGGAGACTCACATCCAGATTCTGCAGGCAGTACCAGCAGAAGGTGTGTTTGCAGCTCTTGCACAGCATCTGCGCACAGCCCTGGTTCCTCTCGATGTAGATACCACACATAGGACACTGCTTGATGGGCATGTCAGAGTCACTGTCGGAGCGGGCCCTGTGGACAGGGAGAAAAACCCAGAAGAGACATCAGGCATGCAGTTAATGGGGCCACATTGTATGAAGCCACGTAGGCCTCAAGAGTGTGAAATCTTTTTTTAGCAGCGGAGTTAGGGGTCAGCGCTCAATTTGAACTGGGTTAATTATTTTGGGATTCAAATGTATAAGGGAAGCATTCTGTAAGTACAATACAGGAACATAGCTGCCACTGAAATCCCTAAAGACATGTTTGAGGGTTTCAACAACTGGAAGAGTTCATGTTCTACAATTATTTTTAATTAATTAAATTAATTAAAAATAAAAATAAATTCATCCATGATTATTGACTATCTGGGGGCAGGACAACAGTCTGTGACTACAGTTGTTACATAGTAGCACCTTATACAGTGGTTACAGCTAAACGGTTAGCAGACAATTGCCTATTTACACATCCTGCAGACAAATAGCAACATTAGCATTCATTTGGAATAATGTGTTTGGCTACCTGACGAATGTAAACCCTAAACTAACTTTCTTTTAGCTCACAACCACCTGAGGGGAATATCTCACTCTTTAGCTAGCATCTCTGGTGCTAACTTTATCTGTCTGTCGTACAGGGCTGGGCCGGTAGATGCTTTAGAGCAGTTAACAACAAAACATAAAAGATGTGGGCCATGAAACCAAAACAATGAGCTAAAATATGCTCAAAACCTGAGCTGTGCAAAGGGAAACTGCAGAGTCAGCTGATCATTCTCTGTTGGTTCGACACCACAAGCAACGCCTTTCACATTGTACACTGTCATTTCCTCCATTGGTAATACAAAAATATTGATTAGAACAGCTTTAAAATGTAGGATTTCTAAGCCCAAAGATTCAAAGAGGTCTGGTGTTGTGGGCATTGACAGCTGGTTCCCCCGTAACAGTCAAGTCAGTGAGCTTTGTAGGCAGGGTTAAGAATGCAGATGTCATTTTCCTGTTCCAGAGCCAGAAAAATAGAGGCAGAAAAATTGCCACAAAAACCTTGATGACTGAAGTATTACATCAGCATACTTCTTTGAGAGATGTGAAAAATCCTAACAAGCAGTACCGCTGAAAATGAAGTTAGCACAACTGATATGTCACTCGCTGCTGATGGATTAAGAATCCCTTCCAAACAGCAAACAACATGAACTGATGTCAGACTGAATAATCAAATGAAAAGTGGAAATGGAACTGGAATCTGAGGTTAGTGTAGAGAAGGCTCTAAAACAACAATGAGATCATTGTGAAGGTAGATCAAATGAATTAAATTAATAAATAAAATGTGGAAATCCTGAAATATTTTGTTGGTTTGTCAAAAACTTTAAAGGGAGTGTTGCACTGGGGGACAGACTACTTATTTGAAATACTGGCTATGGCCCTGATACAATAACATTGTGTTTGACGACTAAACCTGCAGGCTGAGGTAAATGTATATCATGCTCTCAAGTTCAAATTTAAAGTTGATTCATTCTCCTCACGCCTGCTCCATCCTCCACAGCACACTGCAGAGACCACCGCTTCACTGCAGTGCGCAGGCTCCTTCTGTACAGTGAACTAACTGGCCCGGTGCCCACCCTCCTCCTCCCTTTGGCACAGAGACAATGGAATTCCAATATAAGTCAGTGACTCCCCAATGACATCAGTCAGTCTGGCAGAGCTATGGCTCGGAGCGGCGCAGTAATGTAGCTATACAACAGGCACGACACAGAGGGCACTGCTGAGGAATACGAAGCTATTAATCCTGAAATAATGTTTATATTCAGTGCAGGGCCTCTGCTGGGAGATGAGGCACTACATATCACTTGTATAATCAATCCAGTGTAAATATCCAGATACAATAACTGTCAAGTCTATTTATAATAAATGGAAGCATGTTCCTCATAAAATAAAATAATGGAATTGATAGTGTAGGAACACACAAGGTAGTACATACTATATCTTAAAAAATCTCTAATATGCCTCCACTTTTGTAGTTTAAATTGAATGGTGAATAAAACCCATTAATGCAATGATTCAGTTACCAGTTTGTTTACAGCAGTAACAAGTGTTTCTTTGTAAATCCCTCCAGGTCCTGAACTAACACACTCATCCTGCTTTCAGCACAGTATCATTTTCCAAGTGCTGCTCAGACTCTGTGGCTACAGGGCAGCGGCTGACTGACTGACCTGCTTTCATGAGTGGGTGAGGGTGACATCATGGGCTCGAGCTCAGGACAGGTATGGCCGTCCTGCCAGGAGCCTCTGCACCCGGAGCAGAAGATGGTGTGACAGGTCGGGCAGGGCACAGCAGTGGGCTGGCCCTCGGTGCTCGACTGTAAGCTGCACACTGCCTGGCATTCGAGCACCGGGCACCAGGCTTTACTGGGGTCCAACTTCACTCCTGCAGAAAGCAAAGTAGGGATGTGACATTTGTGAAGCAGACAGCAAGCAGCTAAAATGTTACATACAAAATAAAAGTTTTGCCACTGTCTAAACTTAACTTTCCAAGTAATACTAGCACTTCTATCTGTATCAGTACTATCAGTGCAATCAGTAATACTACTGCTCTGACCTACAGGAAGCTCCCAATAATGTGCTTTTCATGTTCCTGCATGGTTTGGGACAAACAAAATTAGGGCTGAAGCAATCAGTTGATTCATTTGTCAAATATTCTCATACATTCACGTATTCAAACTTCTCATATGTAAGGATTTTGTGTTTTTTGCTGATTTTGTGAATTGAATATCTTAGCATTTGAACTGTGGATGAGAAGTCATAATTAAAACATCCTGCAGCCCTAAAGAGAATACTATAACACTGGCTCCTGCATTAACTCTTAACTAGTTAGTTACAGCATTACATTTTGGGATGTGGGTAAAGTAAAAATACAGGTTTCTTCCAATGAAACTTTAACAGAAAAAATTTTTTACAGACAAGAAAATCTACTCTAGCAGCTCTGTGAGATTACAACTACATGCTAAGGTTTAGCAGCAGGTACAGTATGTTTACCATGCTCACAACCTTAGTTTAGTGTTATAGAATGCTAAATGCAAGGTACATGTATGAATAGTTCAAATGTATATTTTTATGTGAAATTACCTAATTGGAATTCAGAAAAGGCATAATACACAACAAGATTAAGAGACTACATGCCCACCACTGTGGGTGAGGCTGTGAATTTGGTACAGCTGTGGTTTGAGCTAAAAGCCAAAACCACCAGCATGCCAACATGCTCACAATGAGAATGTTAACATGCTAATGTTTAGCAGATATAATGTTCACCATATTAGTTCAGCATGTTAGCATGCTAATATTTGCTTAGTTTTACAAGTATTTAGTTATAAACCAAAGTATTGGACACATTTTAAGTTAAAACTTATGATGGCGCTGGATGAAAAGTCAGAGTATCGCCAAAGTTATTATCCTGAGGGGGATATGAATGTACCAAATGTCATGGAAATCCATCCAATATCCAAATCCAGATATTTCCACCCAAGCCAAAGCAGTGGATCGACCATCCCTAGTCAGCACGGCTAAAAATATCTAACAAATGCATTGTTCTCATTTCTAATTGGTTATCTATTAAAGCAAACACATTTCTATGTAGTTTATGAGGACAGAGGGATAAAGGATACTCAAATGTAGAATGCTTACAAAAAAATCTGTTTCACATTCACAACAAAAACTGGAGCTTTCATGATCTGACTCAGATCCCCTAAACCACCTCATACTTTCATTATGAATCATAAGAGAAGGGAAACACTGTTGCAAAACAGCCTGTCCTTTGCACCTACTTATACTTCCAATATTATGAGTCTTTTGATTTGTAGCTGGAGTAAACAATAACTATAATTGGCTTCACAGCGTATTGTTACTGTGCAACTGGAAAAGACCAATATAGCTACAAGGCAAACTAACCTCAGTTTGCAATTTGTAAATGTCAACAGAAACCTATTTCAACAGTTATTCTCCCTCTGCTCTCTAGTTTATGTTTCACTGCAAGACACAGATAGAGTTTGCCTTCGCAAACAATGTGGCGCAATCAGTTACACATAGGTCACACAATTTATTAGCATTGAAGAGCTCATTACTTCCAATTTAACCGAATAGTAAGATTGACCTCTTGAAGCATTTGTTATTGAATTTCCTGCTGGTAATGGTTGGTTTGACTGAGGGTATTCAAGCCACAGTTTCAGTAATCTCCAGTGTAAGACTGGACCAGAGCAGAATAGGAAAAAGGGCAGCAGGCCACGCAATATCCCAGGCATGTGAAGCTCAGCACTATGTGGGGCTGCTTAAAGCCACCAGCTGAAATGCGACCTGAAATAGCCCACTGCCCTTCACCAGTCATCAGCATGCTAATGCAACAATACCTACCTCTCTCAAACGCCAGACGCCGATACAGCTCCACCTGATCTTCTGGGGCCAAGCTAGCTATCTGCAATCACAGAGGCACATTTTATGGCATTTTCTGTGTACATGCAAAAGTTTGAAAAAATGTAGCTTCAAATATCATCCAGGATCAACTGGTCACCTAGCAACTGCAAATTGCTGCATTAAGATTATTCTAAGAAACCTCAGTAGCTAGTGATTAGCCACAGAGAGAAAGAAAGTGTTGATTACGACATTTTGAAATGAAAAAAACAGGCTGCATTCCATTTTTATGTTGTAGTAAAACCTGCAAGATGACATTACATACGAGCATGAGAAAGATCTTACAAAGGTCGGTAAATACTGAAGATGTCTGCTTAAACCAATATCAGCTTACAGCAGCAAATTCCAATTAGTTACATTTCCAAGACCAGCAAGCTTGAGAACATTATTTATTTATTACTCCAATCTTTTAAGACTAAAGACAGACTAAAATTTGTATTAAAACTGCTTGCTGTGCATGTTACTTTTCCCCAGTAATTTTTTGTACGTCTCACATCTGCTTAATTTTACTGGTGGATAATGGGGGATGGAAATCAAATCATCTCTAATTCAGATGGAAGGCCAATGAGCATCAGTTAAAGAGGCTTTTCTTACAATAAGTGTCTTAATGCAGCTGTATTCAGGCAAGGAATACAGATGAGGAACTGAGTAGCAGAATTTCCATTTGTTTGTGAATCAGCAGTTTAAGTTTCTTCGTGGACACACAGTATCTATGATGTGTGGCTGCTCATGGAGTTTCACTTTCTATATCAGTGCTCAAATGAACTCATGTTACCCGGTCAAAAGCAATGAGAATTTCCTCAGAAATGTCATTTAGGCCCACACAATTTGAAAAACACACGGATGGAAATCCAACTGTAGATTTCTAAGGAGTTTGCTTGCAGCACTCTGGACTGTAAACAAATATATATTAAAACAGCAGTTTGGAAATTCTAGGAACATTCCAAAAAAATCTGTTTGCATAAGACCTAAGACAATCCTCTTAAGATTTTTTGTTATGTTTCTGTTTCACTCATGACCTACATATCATTGGAACAGGGCATACCTCAGAGTCCAGCAGCACTCCAGTCTTTTGGCAGGACATATCTGGGCAGGTGATGGGTGCCCCCCCACCCTCCGTGATGGCCAGCTGAACATACTGCTGCAAACACTGGAGAGGGTGAAACAAAACAGCAGCATTAGTCTGGATATTGAATGGAACGGGGAGAATTGTACCATAATAATGCATTACAGTGCATGCCCTTGTAAAAAGCAATACACTTTAAAGATCCAGACAAGAATTAAGTATTTTGTATACATGTATACAAATAAGTGTGACAAATAAGTATATAATATAGTATCAAATATATATAATAATAGTTTGCTAGGAACACTAATGTATGTCTGATGTGTTTTTTTCACAAATAACTTATAATTTCTGCATTAAAATCCTTAAAAATGTCCCTTAAAATCTGATGTTCAACGAGCACAGAGAAACTTTCTACCTTCAGCAGATGAATGTGAAAACCTCCTTCTACTGTCAAACTCTGCACAGACAGCATTCTGCACAATGAAGATCAAACATATGTAGTGGAGGGAAGCCTTAACAATATAACAAAACACATTATCTTTACTGTCCAACCTGAGTGAACCATAATACACATTAAAACATGATTCATGACAAATTTAGTAAAAGCAAACGAAGCAGAGGAAAAACAAGCTGTTGTGAAAACAGGGCAAACTAAATGTCACATAAACATCAGTTCCTTATCAGCATTTACACGTCAAAAGTCTCGTGTTGCCTCAGCCATTAAATGTGAAAGGCTAGGAGGAACTACTACACATTGCGCAAAGGGAGACAATTTTGAGGAAGAAAAAACAAAAACATTGAAACGTCCCTTTTCTTTGGAAATAAATGGTAGATGTCTTGCACATATATACAGACCTGTGCTTATCATGTGCTTTGTCAGGAAGCAAAATGTACTGTTCATCCAAAAACTGACCTGGGATAAAAAAACAAATACACTCTGTGCTCTTGAACCAAACTGGAGAAACAGGTTTATAAAAGTCCAACTGATAAGCAGGGTTTACTGTATCCATTTTCCTCCTTCTTCCCCCGTGACACTGTGTATGTGTGTGTGTTTTATCTGTTTGACCTTGTGTGTGCAACACTGACAACTTGCCTCGCTTGGACAGAGATTAACACCTGCCACTATCTAGCAACCTTACTGTGTCGGGGCATAACACCGACATCTCTGTTTTGAAACACCGGGCGGGCATGTCATGACAGGAACAGTGTAGTAGCCAACTGTGTTATAAATAATACGGCTCTGTATTCCTGTGATAGCATGTCTTCTCTTATAAAGGGACAGAAAAAGCTCCTGGGAATAGTTTGGGTCCCAAGAAGCTGAAAAATGGCACAGCTTTGATGAATCACAAAACTTTCCAAGGACAAGAAGACAAAGAAAGTCAATGCGAGAGAAAGCTAATACTGTGTTGAAACCACTTCATTTCACTAAAGCTGTAATATGCGAGATTTGGCCATAAAGGGATCTATTTTTAGATCTTACAGCAGGAAGTGGTGCTGCAATAAAGAGGAGCATCCCATTCCAAGTCATTTAGATGCTGGAGATTTGCCAAAATTGCACAAAGCAAAGTTTTCTGTTGGATCACTTTTGTGAAATCTTCACCGCCTACAGAATGGGACTGAAAGCATGAGCAATATGAGTCCTTGAATTTTCTAAGACAATCTAAATATAGCATAGAGGCAACCTACTCAGTAACAAAGGTTTGATTTCCAGCCAATGTGTCCTGATGTGGTTTCCTTGAGCAACCCTGAAATGCTCAAAAAACACATCTGAATTTGAGCATTATCTGTTGTAAACATCTGAAATATTATGTTCCTCTTTTCTTACCGCTGTGCAGAAGACACAGTTGCAGCTCTGCAGTTCCCTGGTGGCTGCAGGCGGCTCCTCGCTGAGGCACAGCTTACAGAAGACCTCGGGCCCTGGCTGGGGGTTTGCGCCAGCCTCGGGGGTCCCTGGTGGCAAATCCCCAGTTTCCTGGCTCAGGGTGGGAGTCCTGCTGGCCATGGTGGGGCGAGGCATGTGGGTAGGGAAGGAGGGAAGTATCAGGCTGCTCCTAGCCCTTCTGCTGGGGACTGAGAGGAGCTACAGCCTCCATGTTCCTGGAACAGAAACTGAATTATTAGCATCTATTTCTCTTCAGTGTAGGTGTAACACTTTTCTTCCTCTTTGTTACAGGTCACACAACCACTGCCGGGCTTCTGACAACACTGCACCTTGTTTCCGTAAGGCTGTCATCACTTCTGGTAACTGGTATACCAATCGTAATGACCTCACCTGTCCCTGAGGGCATCGCCATCATTGTCTGGTTACCTGGGAGATGAATTACTCACTGTTTAAAGCTGCGTGCTGCCTGAAGTAAAATATAATTATGCGTCATTACTGTAGTATTATCAATTTTTCATCATGTCTGTTGTTTCTCCATAAATGGCTGTCATTTTTAAGGCCAAAGTCCAAGGTGTGTGTTCCTCATTCATTCTGACAGGAGAAACTGATTGTCAATCGTTTTTAGGAACATGGTAAATACTCGGCTCATGTAGCCATTGCTAGTAGGTACTTGCAAGGTATTTTGTTTAGCATGTAGTGTCAGCACTAAGCAAAATTACAGGGGGTAGAGAGAGTGAAAACAGGGCAATTCACTCAAATAAAAGGAATGGTTTTAAAAAACGTTTTAAATGTACTGAGATTTTAACCTGTATATAGAGATATTTGGATATTTTAGAGTTCAACATTTCTGATCTTCAGTTGTTGCAAAGAGACAATTTGGACAATGTACTAAAGTAACAAATGTCAAATGTATGTTTTTAATGTGAAATTTGAGAGAGAAAGAGTTTACAGTCAAGCTTTGTGAGTCACATGTAGCCAGGCCTGAATGAAAACAACCAATCAGAGCCAAGAAAGATAGTTGACTGTTGAGCCCCATTTCCATGTCGCCACATACTTTGGGACTCCGGGAATGAGACTAAATAATCTACATTTAAACCTTCAACCCAAAGCGTCGAATCAAGATAGACAGGAAAGAGGAAGAGAGAGGGGATGACATGTAGCAAAGGGCCACAGGCCAAACCCATTGCCGCTACAGCAAGGACTCGCCTTGGGTACACAGGGTGTCAGCTTTACCAGGTAAGCTACCAACGGCTCCATATTATACAGACTGTCACCATGATCATATCTTTCAATGAAAATGAGAATAAGGATGCAAAAATTATCATTCCCCCAATACAGTGAATCCTATAGCAGTATGGGTCAAAATATTTGCCCGAAATTAAGCATGTCATTTTCAAATTAGCACTAAATACAAAATACAGCACAGGCTAATGGGAATATGAATAGTTGTGCAGGTGTTTGGTCATAAACCAAAGTACTGGACAAATCTGACCAGAGGCTAGAAGCAGAAGTAGAGTTATTACAATTCATCCTGAGGGGTAGAGGAAGTTGTTTAACGAATAGCATGGCAATCCATTCAGATGTCCAGCAATTTCACTTCACCCACAAACATAAACCTCATGGTAGCGCTAGAGGAGAAGTCATTTTTCAGTCTGGACCAAAGTTGTGGACCACCCCGCATGGTTAAAAAATACTCAAAAGGTATATTTCACAGAAACCATCAAGATGAAATCTACGACTTCCACCATTGGTCCTCAGACATCATGCACTAGTTACATATTTTGGGAGAACAGAGCAGAGGTGGGTGGATACTAAAGGCCTAATCTGGTGTTAAAGGGAACCAAAGTCACCAAAACCCAAAAAATCATCCCTTTGGTTCTGTCCAATCCCAAAAAGCATGAGAAATAATAACGCCATAATCTGGGATTTGTGATTAATCCTGTAGATAACAGTGGTTGGACACAAAACAGGGTCACACAGGAAACGGTGGCGTTAAAAACACACTCTGCAGCCTGAGCGGCTGTTAAAATCACACATTATCCCACGCACAATGTTCTCTATTTCAGCAGACTGTTAAAGTTGGCAGGAAACTTTGGAGCAGCTCAGTCAATAGAGCCACCACCAACAACTACCAGTGTCCTAAATTCTTCAGTGAGTGCTCTTTTATTATGTACTATTGATCAGCGGCGGCGTACATGCAGATCACTGATAGTGGGGCTTGTGTAGCTGCGTGCGTTGGTATTTCTGCACTGTCATGGTGTATCCTCCTGCACTGCTTTTAGACAGGCTGGCTGAGCCGGCTGCAGTCATCATCCCACAATGCTGTCAACCTGTCCTGTCCTGCCCAAGCATAAGCAGCCCCACAGTGTCACATGGGAAAATAACAGGTCTCTGATCAGATAGCTCTGCCGCATGGAAACTCCAATATGTATTTAATAAAAGCCTTTCATTCCTGAACCACTGAAATGACGTTAAAGTTTCTAGGAACTTGAGATCACCTGGGCAACCATCGGTCAATAGATAAGGAAGGTGGAAGTTTTCTTTTTAATCTAAGAGCAGACGAATCAGATATGTTTGGCTACGAACTGTAGAATTCATCAATACGTCATGGTTCATGAAATACAGTGAACAGGCTGAAGTTTGCATGAATGAGTCTGAATGCTTTTTCAGAAGCATTGCACCTTGAATTTGACTACATTTAGATATATTAAATGTCAATACAAAATGCTGACAACCACAGGCTTCCATCTAAAGACATCAATATCAGCACTGGCTCTCAAAAACCCGGCCTGACTGCAGTCCCTGAGCACGCAATTAAAGCCCAGAATAAGAGTCCACATTCAAACTAAGCTATTCATTAATTAAAATGCCCTTGTGTGCTAATAGTTCCTTTTAGGTGTGGAGCTGGCCAGTCTGTGATTAGCAGTCCTCCCGGATCAAGGTCTAGATGGCATTCCAGCCACGGGGAGGGGGATCAAAGCATCATTGTTGACCAGAGAGGCAGAAACGGAAAAACCAGATCTGCCCGGTGAAAAGCTGCTGCTGCTTTTTACACAGACTGCCACTGTGTTGGGAAGCAGGCAGCTGGAACTGTGTGCTCGGGGAGTGTGTGGCAGAATTTATATGGCATCATTTATACAGCTGCAATCACTACCTGTTTGTCTCTCTGGATTTCTGGCCCAGTAACCTGTGTGTCTCTGGGAGGGAGCCAAAAACGAGAGCACATAAAAGTTGAAGCACAGCAATATGAAGAAAGTGAAAATGAAAACCTTCATCTAGTGCACACTAGTTTAAACCTGAATCAGTTTGGTGGACACTGAATTACATTGCTGTGTTAAAGGTATCTTAAAGTCATATTCTGGGAGGACTGTCAGTTCACAGTTATACATGCATGGTTTTCTACAAGTACACTATTAGTATTAGCATTGTATTTCTTGTGACAAAATAATTGTTAGCCTATATCTAGTCTGTTACACTGCATGCAAGCAGACACATGAACCTGACACATCTGCATGCCCTTCAAGGTTGCATTCACGGATACGTCAAAATACAGATTCTGACGCATTTTGGGTGTATATTTTGTAAGATGTAAACGTTTAGGGCTAAATGGATGGTCTATGTGATGCAGACAAAAGCCGGAGGAGCAGAGGAGAGAGGGGGGGACCTACCTTGCCTGTGGACCACTGGGTGTAGGAGCTGCCTGAGTCCAGATCCACAGCCGCAGTGCTCTTACAGTGACACATGTGTTGATACAGTCTGTTATAATGAACTGTCAACGCCTAATTCCAGCACCGTCCCGCTGCTTCCGCCCTCCTCACACACGCACCGGGGTTACAGAGAAAACTAAAACCATGTTAAACGTCCTGCTCGCTCCTGTCTGGCCTGTGTGTGTGTGTGTGTGTGTGTGTGTGTGTGTCTGCTCTGCTCCTGCGTTTAGTTTCCATCCAGGAAGCTGTTCCTGCTCTCTGCTGATCTCCACTCTTGACTGCTCCTGCCGGTTGATTCACTATATTCATGGAGCTTTTATGGTGCTTTCATGTGCAGTCGGAAAAATGGTTGCTGAACTGCTCAGGAACGAGTGGTACTAACTATGGAGCCCCGAAACTATAGTGAAAAGTCATAAATATATATCTAAAGACATACACAATAAATAGTTTGATCATCAAAAAAGGAAAACAAATAAATAGACCTGATTGGATGTTAAAGGAGAAGTATAAAGCTAAAGACATTTTATGTATTTAAACTGATTACATTATTTATTGATATTCAAGTGTGAACCCATTGGTTTGTTGAGTATCGTTTTGAAGTCTGGCATTATGGCCGCTGCCATGTTGTTTTTTTTGGAGCCAGCAGCAGTGACATACTGCAAACTGAGTTTAGTTGTGCTCATTTGACACGTCCATAGCATGGTTGTATTAAGAGAAGTGGATACAGTGTTGGAGCACCACTCCGTTCAAGCTGCTCAGTGGTGTATAAAACCATAAAATCCACTTCTACAAATAATGATGAATCCATACTGCACATCTAGAGACTTCTGCTTCCCAAGCCGGCTAACTTCCGGTTTACCCCTCCGTTAACTTGAATGAGGATAAATAATTTAATCTTGCAAATCATCTGGACTTTCAAAATGTTATCGGACTGGTAACTGATAGTAAGACAAGTCATTTCAGAGGTGTGTGTTTCTTTCACAATGTAACCTTATGGGAACAAGTCTTTTTGGGCCAGTGTGCATCACGTGACAGAAGCCATTTTTGTAATTACACGGTTTTGCCACTATAACAAATTGGTTTCAAAGCCAGGTGCACTTCCTGGGGGCTTGGTCCAAAGTAGAAAACAATGGTGCTTTGCCTGGTCACACACGTTCTCGCATTACAGCTAAACAGTACACTGGAATAGGTTTCTGAAAAGAGCTGAAATGAGACACCCCAAAGCACACCCTGCTTTATCGTCTATTTTACCCTAAATGGGACCATACTTTACTAAATTAACATTATGCTGTATGTAACAAGACCTGACTCTAGAGACCAAGGACGCTGTTTACTGTAGAAATAAATTGTGAAGTAAGACTCATTTTCCATGAGAATCAATACTATCGTACTTCTTTTATGCAGCCAATGGAGCTAACCCCTGCTGGCCATTACATAGAAGTTAAGACACTTCTACATTGGCTTCAGTTCACAGACCCAAAGCTCTGTCCATTATACATACTGTCAATGATCCAGTTGTACTTTTTGTCAGTTTCTGACTTTCATAGATAAAAACATTGTTGCGTTGGCGCCTTCTGTGTTCACTTCTGGTACATTAGTATTCCTATGATCGCTAATACTCAGTGTGAATGCTTTCACATCAAGCTGATGCTTTTTAGGGACATTTTAATGAAAGATCACATTTCATTTTTGTTTTTAATATGCACAGAAATGATGAAGTTTAGCCAAAAAGTTGCTAATGTCAATTTTCTCAGAGAAAAAGAGCATATTGATTTTTTAATATCAAACGTTTATTACCTGAAGGAAATAATGAATTAAGACTTTTCAATTAATTAGTAGCAAATTCTTAAATTGTACTTAATCCCTCATGTATGTACTTTCATTTCTCAATACTGGTTCTCTTTTTATCTCAGCTTTTTGACACTTCCAATGAGTATACAGTGTTGTTGTTGTTGTTTTCATAGTATGTCTTACTTGAGAGACATATTTTGGGAAAATACTTCTTTTATACCAGCTACAGTACCGCCTCCTATTCGTATTTCCCCTGTTTACGGCCCATATATGGCGTCATATCTATCATTGAGCAATCCCCTCTCACTGGAGTAATATGATTGGCCTGGAACTACATTACTATTTACCAAACTCATCAATGTGTGAATGTCCTATTGGCTGATGGCCTATGTATTGGTTATTTTAATTTATTTATACACAGTCTAACAATAAAGTTTGTACTCCTGCTATGATCAATAAACACAGTCAGCAGTGACAAAACAGAAGAATTTGCCTTATGAGCTGCAAGTGTCTTAACTTAGATTTCATCCAAAAGACTAAGAAAACAAATTATTTCACCTTTAAAGAAGATAGTCTCACCATATTCCAACAGTTTCTTAATTTTGACATTATCACATGCCCTCAAAAGTATGATGTTTTGAAGATGAAGATTGTTATTCTGTAGGCTTTGTGGGCGGTTTACACCTGCAGTAGGCTATGAAACCACCTTGCCTTCCTGTTGCATCATCCAACTCTTCATTCTGATGCTTGGGTGCAAAACACATTCATGCCCTCTTATTTCTTGGCATAAACAACATGAACCATTGACCCAGATTTGCTTGTATAAATGCTACCATATTATGCTGCGTGTGAACGCTCCCATACTGGAGATTGTAAGAGTAGGTTTATACGAGGTGCAGTGAAGGCATCAGGACAGGGCAAGGGGAGAGCGCAGCCTGTTTGTCCAAACTTCAGAATAATAATATATGCCATCATTTAATATTGGGAGGGAGTTGCAATATTACTGCAGTGTTCATTTAGCAAAAACACAGAGAGAGGTTTGGGGAAAAACTGATAATGCGGTGCAGGTCTAAAATCACTGTAAGTCACACTACATGTTAAATTAGAGTTTCACTCCTACACAGATGGAAACCCCAATGTAAACTGCGCATGCGCCAATCGAGGGGGGGGGGGCTTTTCCGAAAATTTCTGTATATGAGTCCGTGTTCGTCGCTTTAACGAAGATAATATCACTACCACATGTATGATGGACACCTCCGACCCTCCAACGCTGTGGCCCTTTAATAACAGCAATTTCACAAAGACGAAAGAAAGGACGCCGTTCTACCAGGTGGGTTTCTATCCATTACATCTCCTTACTATTCTCATTACAGCTCGGACCCTCTCACTTCACTTTGAGCTGATCTGAAGAGTTTTTCACCTGAATCGAAGTAACAGCAGTAATAAGTAATAATACGTTATAATACTCTGAAGACAATTTGAGTTTGTAACAAAATTTGGCTCCACCAAACTATTTCCGTATAGTCTACTGTGACTTTCGGTTTAAAAAAAAAAAAGAATCCCAGCATCAGGGAGGAAGAGAGAGAGAGAGAGAGCATGTGACCTAGAAAAACAGGGTTACCGAGCGTCAGGTGGTCTTGCGGTGTGCGCTGTTTGTGTCAAGAAGCGAGAGTGGGTGAGGTGAGAGCCTGAGGCCCCCTGTCTGCCTCTCTCCCTCAGGTGATGACCTGTAAAGACTCCAGCCTGCAGAGGATCATCCAGGTGGTGCACAGGGTGGCGCAGAAGAGCTGCAGAAGAGCCTGTCAGCTGTTCTGCTGTCCGCTGGACACTCTGCTCTGTGAGAAGCTCACAGCCTGCCCAGGTAAAATCCAAATGAATATTTGCATCATTGTTTTGCATGTTGCTGTAATGTCATGGTCCATAATAATAATAATAATAAGATCATTTATTTGAATTTGATTTCATTTTCAAAATGTAATCTCCCTTTTGCTTTCTTTAAAGCTCCAAATCATCAACCTGAGGAGGATAATAATGCACAAGGTAAGTTTCTTTGAGTTTATTATTTATTCCCTTTTCTCTTATTATAGCTTGCTTATGTGTCAGATAAACCTTTGAATCATTGAATTCTTACATAAAGGAGCTTTTCCCATCATTTTATGCAGCAGTTTGTTCTGTGTAGACAACTTGAACAAAATCTGTCAACCAGCTACATTAATACGTGTACTTAATACATTTTACTAGCAGCACATTTTCCACAGACAAACCTCAAATACTTTCTTTGCTGTGGCATTTATCATTTAAATAAACTCTTTCCATAAATCCAGAAGCTGTAAGGAAGTGATAGTGACGCATTTCTGCTCTTACATCACTCTGGAACAACAACTTCCCATTCTCATATTCTCTTCCCTTTCTCTGCCATGCCCACTCATGAACAGTGGCACTGCGGAGTCCGCCTTCCACCATCTTGATTTTGAACATCAGCAACTCCACCTTGATCGACTGCGTCATCGGAAATGACACCTACCCATCTGCGGTGGCAGAAAGTCAGCCTCTAATGCATGAATCAGAGCTCCACATACATGGTGGGTAACAGCCAAACCTATTTTATAGCATATTCCTGGGAATTTAAAGTACTAATGTACTAATTTATACTATGCAATGTTGTATTATTATATATACTATTTTTGTAGTAGTTGTATTAGACACATCACAGTG